CCGTCTTCCCGAGAGTGTGAGACAGGCGTCTACTCTGGCAGTTTTTAAAACTGAACTGAAAACAGTTCTTTTTAGCTGTGCATACAAGTGAATGATTTTACATTTGTTTTTATCTTTAATCTTTTTAATGCGCTATGATTATTTATGATTATTTATGATTGTAATCCCTTGTGTGATTTTAATTTTTTACGGTTTTTAACTACTTGTGTGATTTTATATATCTTGTGCTCTTAATCTGTCTTTTTATGTTTACTTAAATTCTAATGTTTGATGATTTATGCATGATGTTATATGGGTTGTGAGGCGCTTTGCGTTGCCTTGTGTAGGAAAGGCGCTCTATAAATAAACGTTGATTGATTGATTGATTTATTCTTTCGTCATAATTGAGGCTGCAGTGGTGCCTGTATCAGACATGAGAGAGGGCAACAGTCAGTTTGAAGGAGCTGCCCTGATGATTGGATGTTAGTTTTGCTGAGCTGAGCTAATTTTTATTAACGACATTGAAGAAGTACTTACTGTCTGACAGGTTACGTACATTAATCACTAAATACTTTTTATATGTTCCTTTTATTTTAAACTAATGTCAGAATGTGCAATATAGAACCACATGTGTCCGCTGTCACTTTACTGAGTCACTTTGTCCCAGACTCTCATGCTGCTAACATGCATACATCATGGAATTTCATACAACTATATATTTCTAAACTAGATCTTTATCTTGTTGAGTCATATGTGACTTGAGAAGGTAGGATCTCAGAGAGAGAACATTAGTTAGAGATTTTTGGTTTCTTATGACAAGAAATGTGTAAAGAGGATCTAACTTGACTTGAGTTCAGGGCTTGCGACTTTTTCATCCTTTAAGATGTTTGTGACAAGTTTCAACACAGCATATTCATTCAAACAAAAACTTTTGGTCAAAAGAAGAGGAAACAAGTTCTAATTTAACTCGCCAAGTCATTGTCTATGATTCAAGTTGTGTGTAAAAAGTCAGGAATATCTAAAAAGTGTATATTCGCAGCCTCATCAGTCAAAGATTCTTTAGATATTCACTGTTTTCAGTGTAGAGACCAAAGTGGATGTACCACTTCCCTTCATCTTGTCGAGCAGCTTGATGAAGTAATGGTTTTCCCTTCCCTCAAAAATAAACAAATACATTCTCATATACAGAGTCTAGACTTAACTATTTGTGATTCTGTTGCACATCCAATTACATTTGAGTTTTCTGTTGTATGTTGTAAGCTGTTGGTAGACAACGTCAAGGACATTCATTTTTTTCACACTGGTTTTCTTTAGAGTTGTTCCTTGCCGATGCCGGTGATGATCCAGGACAGTTATGGACATCTATTAACATGTGTGGACATTGGTCATCTTCCCCTTTAATGGCCTAATGGCTCTATGTGATTTCCATCATTGCATTTCTTGATTCTCTGATCTGTGTTGGAGAAATGCTAACTTTGTAAAGTCCTACTTGTTATTGATAAACGACAGACCACTGTACAGCAATTTCACCTCTCCGCTTGACTTTTTTTGTGTTGCTCCAATCGCCACAGTGGCCATACCTGCAGGTGAGAGCCATATCCCATTAGACCTCTGAAGCTAAGCAGGGTAGGGTCTGGTTAGTACTGCGATGGGAGTGCCACAGTGCGGCTGCAAAGTGCCAAACTGTCGTGTCCTTAGGCAAGACACTTCATCCCCATTGCCTACAATGAATCTAATGTGTATGTGAATGGCTGGTGGTCGGAAGTGGTTGCCTCACTTCTGTCAGTGTGCCCCAGGGCAGCTGTGGGTACAGTAATAATTTATGACCACCGGGTATGGAGTGAAAGAATAATGAAATGTGAAGCGTCTTTGAGTGTCCGCTCAGTGTGTTATATAAAACCAATGCATTGATACAGCTGCGATCTTTCAGCAGTGCGTTCTGTGGTCATTGGTCACAGAGGCACTTACTGTCTTGGTCCTGTTCAAACCATTCATATACATTTGCACACAGCTGTATGTTTCCAGATGGAGCAGTGCACTCAGTGAGTTACTGACTTCCCTCTGGAGCTACATGTACATTATTTTATATGAAAGGAACTTACAGTAGTTTTGATGGATGGTCAGAGTTTCACACGGACAGGACTGAGACTCACTATTCAGACTGTTTCTTTCATGTTTTAGAATGTGAAAGAGTATCCTAGGCAAAAATGCATCGTGAGACAAGTCTCATGGGTAAATAATGCCATTGGCCCGCTCCATCCCCATGCGCGGTAAGTTAACACTTGTACTTCACAGCAAGAAGGTCCAGGGTTCGATTCCACCTCCTGCATGTTCTCCCTGTGTCTGCGTAGTCTAACTAGATTTTGTATAGATTTTTTGTATTTCCAAATTCAAAAATGACTGACTGCAGGTACAGACATAGATGGTGAGATTGATATATAGATACTTAATCAATCACCCGTAGGAGAAATTCATGTGCCCTGCAGCATACAAACAAATAAATTAGGGCTGTCAAACGATTAATTTTTTTTAGTTGATTAATTGCATAGTAATGGTGAGTTAACTCACGATTAATCGCATGTTTAACATTCTATTTCAAATCCACTCGAATTGAAGTTAAATGAGATTATCAAATATAATGACCAGTGTTGGGTAAGTTACTTTGAAAAAGTAATTAGTTATAGTTACTAGTTACTTCTTCGAAAAAGTAATTGACTTACTAACTGAGTTACTCTACTATAAAATTTACCAGTAAAAGTAACTATTGCGTTACTTTTTTGTTTGTCGTGATACTGAGCTTTAGCTGGCTGTAATTTAGGATAACTTCTAAGTAGATTAATTGTTGCAACAACCCCACCCTATTTTAGTATGATATGTTAGTTTAGGGAACTGTCCTGCAGGCAAACAGGTATAAGACAGGCCAAGGTGCCATTTAAATTACATTGCATTTATTTTTATCCATTGATCAAACAAACACATTACAAAACTTGCAATTGAAAAAGACTATTTTAAATAAATTAGTATAAAATAATTAGTTCCCAAAGACACACACGAGCAACACTCACGCCTGACAGTCAAGAACCAGGGAAAATACAGTACGCAGAGCGCGCCTGACAGACAAGAACCAGGGAAATTACAGTGCGCAGAGCGCTGAGTATGTGAACGGAGCAATCGCTTGCTGCTGTTATTATAATAGCTAGATCCATGCTTGCAGCCCGCGCAAGCTTGCACCATGGATCTATTATATTAGGCTTGCACTCACTCACAGCCGCTAACAACAACCAGAGCGGCCACGGAGGAGGCCATTTCACACGCAGCATTCTGAGTGATATTCTTAAGGATAAATGGGCGGGTCATTCGGACATGCATTAATGCATTTTAAAAAAAAATAACGCGTTAATGAAAAATTTAATTAACGTGAGTTAACGCGATAATTTTGACAGCCCTAAAATAAATACATAGTTCTAATTAGAGGTGCAACGGTTTATCACTGATCTGTGATCCGTTCGGATCAACGTCTTCAGTTCAGACGTGATCCGCGGTTTGATTTATGAAAAAAAAGTTGTGCGCACGTTGTTTTCAGTCCACACACAGAGTAATCATGGCGAGCAGAGGAACGGAGGAGCCCGCAACATTTACAGTAAATCCCCAGTATGAGAGGATTTTGGCTTCGCTGTAACTATTTCGACATAGTTGTCGAAATAGTTGTCGAAACTGTCACGGTTGCCACGGCATTTAAGCAGCTCCTTTACGCACAGTCAGACCGGGCTAAAGTCATCTCTCCCGCGCATCCTCAGTGGAGCTCACGACTGACGCTTGGACGTCCCGCGGAACCTATAATAGATCCATGAGCGGAACCGCTCACTTCATCACAGCAGACTGGGAGATGAAGAGTCTGGCGCTGCAGACACGCCCCCTCTACGACAGTCACACAGCGCAGGTACTGACACAAGCAGCGGAGGAATGGAGGACAAAGGCCCAGTACTAATATTCCAGTCACAACTGATAATGCCAAAAATTTAATAAATGCAGTGAATGAGGCTGGACTGGGCCCAGAATGGAGCGCCTCCTCGGGAGAATCAGGAAGGTGGTTTAATATATGAGGGTAAATATCCTCATAAAGTGCCTTCTTATGTTGCACTTGTTATGTTGTTTTTCATTAATTATGTTAAAAAGACATAATTGGATGGATGGAATATGACTTCCATCCATCCATCCATTGCCTTCCCCTTAATCCATTTCTAGGTCAGGGGGGGGGAAGTCAGAGCTGCACCCAGTACACAGAGCCCCAGCCTCTCACTGATCCTCCTGCAGGTGCCGAGTCCACATGAGCTGTGTTTATTAAAAAGACAAAACTTCTTTTTTTTTTTGAAAAATGAACCGAAAATTTGAACCGTGGCCTCTGAACCGAGGTACGATCTGAACCGTTTTTTTCAAACCGTTGCACCCCTAATTCTAATGTGATTGTAAAGGACGTCATTTCACTTTAGAAATTGACAAAACAAATGAATGGGCAGTAGTTTTATTTTAAAAGGCAGAAAACTGTTACAGGACGATATTGGAAACTTGGCTCTTTGTGATTGTGGTGTTTACATTTTGATAGTCTGATTGACGTCTAGATATGAGCCATACTGTATGAGGATTGACCCGACGGATGCCGTCATTCGTGAGGGAAACTCCAGCTTACCTAAGCAACCGTCTTAGCAACACATTTGTCCATGTTACGATGAGAAGCTAGAGCGGGGAACAAGTGCCCATATAAGGAAATTGGCTCCAGCTAGCTTATGTTTGGCAAACACTCTTGGTCAACACAATGGGCCGTGTCCGTTCCATTTAGAGACAAGAACAGAGGAAAGCAGCGCTCCATTACAGTATCCTCGTTTCAGATTCAAAAGGAAAAACAAAAACAAAAGAACATCATCGAACAAATGAATTCCAGTTTGAGTCAACTATTAAACATTGCATTTGCCTTCTGCCCATCGACGCCTAAGATTGAGAGAAAGAGAGTGTTAAAAACTCACCATGTTTACGGAGGAGACTGGTCCGATGCTGTTGACGTAGATGTCCATGTCGATGACGGTGGGTTTAACTGTGGACAATACAGCATGTGAGAAATATATGAATAAATGTGGAAATAGATAACCTAGATAGACCTGTGTCAACTTTTCATGTCAGTTTTTTCATGTCAAAACTTTCAAAATACAGTAATACAGTTCACCCATGACCGGAAGGGACTTGGGACCCATGGAGCAACATAAACCTTTTCAAACCTATTTTTTTAGGTCATTATACAAGAAAGAGCAGCGCATGCAACAGGCCAAACTCTAATGGTCCCTTGTGTGATTTGTGTGTTGCAACCTTGACTTTAGCCTCATTCCCACGGAGAAAAAACGCTGAGTGGCCCCTGAATGATAACAACTCGGCATTTAACCCGCCTCATGACCTAGTCTTTTTGTCGAAACTCGCACCAAATAAAGCGGTGCTAGCGGTCATATGAATAAGGTTATAAAACTACACATGAGTTACGCAAGGGCAAATACTGTGATAATTGAAATTAATTATTCAAAGTGTTGTGCAGGTTATAAAATGTATTGGTTTTATTGTCTAAATTACTGCTATTTGGTCAAAGTATCCCCTTTGAACAAGGCGGATTAAATGCTTGATTGTCAGCCGTTGTCGCTCAGTGTTTTTGATCAAATTCCTGTATATTTCCACAGTGGGAATGAGGCTTATATCTAACTTGGAATGAAAACTTGATGCAGTGCTTAAATGCAGCCAGTGAGTAAGGATAGGATTGTTCTCCTTTCTACCAGGCTGGATTTCCGCTTTAGCTTCATTAGTGTGGATGGAATATGGATTTTTTATGAGACACAATTTTTTTTTTTTTCTTGTATGTATTTTTGTTCCTTCACACATAGTAATTGTAGTCCCCACGGTTTGGTCTCCTCTCTCCTGTGATTACGCACTGGTTTGTCACTGTAGGATCAGGAGAGCAGCAAGTGGCAGCTGTGACGGACGGAGCCGGGAGCGTTCACATTAGCACAGACTTCCCACATCACTCTGCATTTGCACGGCTTCAGTCTGAGTGCGTCCCAAACTGTAGGCGACACATGCACACACACACTATGCTACACCTGTTATGTTGTGCAGTCACCACGGCGACCAAGAGGAAGACACCAGAACCATTCGTTGCAAGATATATCCAAATGTCAGCAATTTTTCAAGCAAAGTGGTGGAGCGAGTCCCCAGAAATTCTCCAGGGGACAATACATCTCCTCAGCTGTAGGAAAAGCAGAACAGCACCTCTTCTATCTGAGGAAGATGAGGAGAGTCCATCTCCCTCAGAGGCGTATGATAAACTTTTATAACTGTGCCATTCAGAGTGTGCTGACCAAAGGTCTGCTTGTGTGGTTCTCCAGCTGCACAAAGGCAGAGAAGCAGGTGATCCGGAGGGTGGTGAAAACTGCTGGAAATATAATTGTAGCTCCTCTCCCAGGGATCTCCTGTGTGTTCACCTCCCGCTGCCTGCGGCGGTGTCACAACATCATCAAAGACCACTCCCGTCCAGCACACTGACTCTTCCACCTGCTGGCCAACAGCTATACCCCCAGGCTGTCAGACTGGTCAATGAACACTGCCCCCTTCTAACCCTTCTATTTTGTATTTTATTAAATCATTATTTTTGGGTTTGGGTCCTTCCATCATTCATCTCACCCCACCATGTGACACCATAACTATGAACTGGCCGTGCATTGTTGCATCTGTTACTGTCTCTGCTAATCTACCTCTGCCCTGTGCTGTTTACATTCATCAGTTTTTATGGCAATGACAAAAAATAATTGAATTGAATTACAGCATAGAGTTCTTCGTCCTTGAGAAGGCAGATGTCCAATGAATTCCTCAGAAATACTTACAGCAACTTTAGCATCATTCCCACTGAGAAAAAAAAGTATGATAAAGTCACCACATTAGGTCTTTCTCACTGAGCAGCTGAAAAACTTAACACAGCGGTAATTTAACAGCAATAAACCCCAACTGTTTAATAACCTGTTGCTTGCAAGAAAACAATATACAAGTCATACAAGAGACAATACTGTGCATAACGACAGGAGTAAAAGACAGTGTAAAAAGAGTGAAGCTCTTACCGTCAGAGTTTGGGCAGTTGAAAACTTTACATTTATTATCATTTATGAAGAGTGGTCGTCTCGCTCTCTATGGACCATTGGCTTCTATGTGTTCGTTATTATTGCATTTATTGTGTTCGAACTGTGTGATTCTCTGAACTTTGCAAAGTCCTCTGAGACGACTGCTGTTGTGATCTAGGGCTGTACTAAAATACATTTAATCTAATGTCCTAATGTGGAAGATTATGGCCAAGCAACAATTAAAGTATTAGCCATATTCATGATACAAACCTGCCGACAGTCTTTCACAGTGAAACATGTGAATAAAACATGTACATTTGGCCTTGTTCTTACACAGGCTGGCGTGTCAAAACGGTTCAGCTTTTAACCTGCCTTACAACAAGGTAATTTAGACTCTATCTGTCTTCAGAGCCTGCTGCATATAAGTGCCAAAGGTAAAGAAAGATCTAAAACTACACACAAGTCACTTCTGTGCTTACTGACCGGAGTGAGGCTCTCTCTGTCAGAGGCTGCTCTTTTATTTATAAAAGTTTCATCATTTCATTTCATCAGTAAAATATGTTTGAAAATGTTGATATTGCTCCATACCTGAATGAGAAACCTGGTCTAATAAAAAGCAAGTCCCTCTGGCCCTGGGTGATCTGCAAGTGATGTTTCTGGCTGCCCCACTGTGAAAAGCAACAACACTGGAAAAGTGGCAACAAAAAAACCTGAGGAGAAATATCTACCATTAGAGGAAATATCTGCCAGTAGACAAGTCATATTATCTTAAAGGAACAGTATGTAAAAAATCTGTTCATAAGTGGTACTGCAGCCTCTTCCACTAACTCAGGTTGCCAGATATGCTGACGAATGCAGCTGGGAACATAATATCTGAAAAGAGTTTTGTCAAATCTATAATCTATCACAAAGGCCTGATAGAAATCCTCGTTTTATTCCTTGTTTTGTTATTAATGATTTGAGAATCATAACGAGACCTTTTTTAGTTCTCCGGCCACATATTAATTTACCACTAAGATTAGCTTGATGGGGTGAGTTCTGGCAACCCAGATCACAGACTTTCTGGTAAAACAGTGGAGGGCGGGACATCAAATGAAAACAATAACATGGTTTCATTTGGATGCATGATAATTAAAATAAGAGCATGGTTTGTTAATGCCTTTTGACATATTAGGACCATTTAATGATGACTTGACATGAAAATCTTACATGTTACTACTTATCTTCAGACTGCATGGGTAAAAAAAAGTCTAATAAGCGATTGGATGAATACATCAAGTGAACTACAAGTCTATATTTTCACTTTTTGCAGTGAACCTTTCCTACTGTCTCAAATCAACCTTGGTTAAAATATAAATGTTGTTTACAATCTGAAACCACCTACTGTTTAATTCAAAATGGATTTTCTTTAGTTTCTAGTGTTTACCTGCTGAGATTTCAGGATTAGACTGTAGCTGTTATTATGAACTCCATGAGTTTAGGCCTCTTCAAACTAATTGTGGGCAATAGAAGAATATTGATGTAAAAAGCACTGGTGCATTTGTGCCTCTGTATGATGGACTCTGGGAAACTACTTGGTTAGTGCTTTTACACTGTCCTACTGGTAATAGGCTTTCAGAAAGGGAATGGGGCGACTGGGGATTTTGGACTAAAACATAGATTTTGATACATTTTGCATTGAAAACACTAGACTGTAGACACAAGGGAGTCCACACTATGTATTTTACAGTAATTTAATCAATGGAGACTCAATATTAACACAAAACACCAATAGACTAAAAGCGTTGATACACTTCTCAGCTAGGGCTACCTTTATTACAGATTCTCATTTTTGTAAGAATATATTTGTGTGTGAAAATCAGATTAGATAGATAGATAGATACTTTATTGATTCCTGTCTTAGAAATTCCGGTGTCCAGAAGCAGCAAAAATAAAAATTAAATTGATCATTCTAAAAAGCTAACAGTAGTAATTATCAGCAACAGCCCTTCAGGTCACAGCAGCAGAAGTGGAGTAGCAAAGCGGTTTTCCCTGGAGTAAAACCATGATCAAACAACACAACGTGGTAAAGAGGAAAAGTGCTGAAGCTAAGGGCAGGTGAGCTGGGTTTAGTAAAATAACTCTTCAACCCCTAGCGGCACTCGAAAAGAGTAAATAATGTTACTTTTAGCTGCAGATGAAAGTTGCGTTCCCACCGATGGTGGCATGAACATTTCAGCGGCGAGAGTTTAGTCAATCTGTCGTCCTGTCCTGCGATGGGGAACGCAGGGCGGAAGTGGGCGGGCTTTGGGGTGAAGACATTTGTTAACAAGCACTGTGTCTCCCATTGTCAGCCCGGGTTCAATCCTGGTCTAGCTCTTGTTTTGGCTGCTTCCTGTTTTGACCGACTTGTTTCCGACAGACCTTGCTGCGCTGGGCAAACGTGTGTGCCGCAACGTACATGTGAATACTTGCATGCATGAGCGGACGTCACCATTGACTTTTCTTTGAAACTCAATCTCAGGCAGTTTTGAAATCTAGGTTAAAAACAGTTCTGTTTGACTGTGCCTAAACATACTAAAGCAGGGTTTCTCAAACTGGGGTACGCGTACCCCTAGTGGTACGCGGGCGCCCTCTAGGGGTACGCCAAAGAATCTGTGAAAAAAAAAAAAATCTGTGGATTTTTTTTTTTTTTTTTTTTTTTTACCAGGAAAGTCCCATTGAGATTAACTCATTGACAGCCATGGATGTCATTTGAGGACAACATTGTTTTTCAATCTTTTCCTGTCAGTCTGTGTCCCCTGTATCATACAGTCTGGGGTTTGGCTGTAGACAGTATTTTATTAAGCCAGCAGGTGGCAGCAGAACTCCCTGGTTTGGTCAAAGATCACTGTCTGAGCACTCTGAGCAGGAGAGACAGAGGTGAAGCAGACATGGAGTAATATAGTCAGGGTCAGGCTACATTTGGAGGCAGTTTGAGCAGTAAATGTGTCTCCAGAGCTGACAGAGACCATGTGGAGGGTCCTAGCAGCAGACCATGTGGAGGGTCAGGGCAGCAGACCAGTGGAGCACCTCAAAAAAGCCACAGAAAAGTGGACTATTGCTAAAATTATCACTGAGTCCACACCAGGAGCCAGCAGCAAAGTCCAGATATGGTCACAGCGCACGCCGGACTAAACAGACGCTCTGTAGATGTAACCACATAAAAACACACAAACGCGTGCAGAAACGCACATACATGCACGCCCAAACACACAAAGACACACAGCAGTATTCTATTGCACTTATACTATAAGTATAAGTATTCACTTTGATTTATTGTCATGTATAGTGTTTATCATTGTAATTTTGTTATTCTTTGATTTACTCTTATTGACATAAATATAGTGCCACCTAATGGATGAATACTGGCCATTCTATCTGCCATAGTTTGTCATGGGCTCTACTTTCAATATGTACATTTAGACATTTTTTGGATGAGTACATTTTGAAATTTTTGAGCAACACTTTGTGGATGTGTGTGTGCCATAAAACTTATTATTTTACATTAAAAACACTTTCTCAAAACGTGTTGTTGTTTTCTAACATGTAAGATCCTGGACATGTTTGAGGAGATGCTAAAGTCAAACTAAATAGTTTTACAATCACTTTTCTGTAGGTTCGTCTGTTTTCACAAAAACCTCATTTTCTAATTTTTTTGTTTAAGACTGGTGCTTTTTGTCACACTCTCCTCTTTTCGACTGGAGATCACAGGAGAACGAAACAAACTAAGAACAAACTTCTTTTTGCTGCTGAAAGTAGACAGTCCTGTCTTTCAGACTCTGGTTTCATATTTTTCATAGCACACAATATTCTGTGAGTCTTAAAAATCAGTGAAGTCATCAAAAAATGGCTGGCAGTCAATGAGAACCTCTTTTTCGTGTACAAAAATTACATAAAATTACAGATGATAAAACAGTCACATACAGATGATAAAATAGTCACATACAGATTATACAACAGTAACACACAATTTCATAAAATTACGGATTATAAAAACAGTTACATTTCACTGAAGATGTCTCAATCTGGATCTAAAAGCATTCAAGGAAATAAGATCGGATCATTTCTAGTCTTTTTGTAACACGTTCCATGTAGAAGGAGCAGTTTTTTTTCCCAGTTCTGTGCAAAAGGAACAGAGAGCAACAAACGATCATTTGATCCAAACCATGAGAACATGTTTCTGTGAGTAAACGACAGATGTCAGAGGGCAGCAGACCAAGCCTTAGAAACTAAAGTGCACCAGTGTCCAAACCTTCTGTGGACAAAGATCCCACTCCAGAATATCACTCACAGTGAGGCTTTGCAGTTCGCAATGAATGAAACATTTAAAACAATTTTTTTTCCTATATTTAAGCGCAGTCTTACTGTTGAAACTGTGTAAAATATTACATTAAATATACTTCTTTAGGAATTAAACCTCTGCCTTGTTATTGATGAATACTTCGGCTTACTACGCTACTGTGTGGTGTGGTCATTTGTGGTGGTACTTGGAGAGGCAAGTATTTTCTGAGGGGGTACTTGGTGTGAAAAGTTTGAGAACCTCTGTACTAAAGGATTTTATCTTTACACTTTTTAATGCACTATGACTATTTATAATTTTAATCCAACGTTTCAATGTTTTTTTAATTACTTGCGTTATTTAATGTAATAAAAAAAATAAAAAAAATGTTTAATGTTTTTTTATTTTTTTTTATTACTTGCGTTATTTAATCTGGGGCGACAGTAGCTCAGTTGGTAGAGCATTGGCCTTTGGGCCTGAAGGTCGTGGTTTCAAGCCCACCATAAGACCTACTTCACGACTCCCACTGATGTCTGCTGTCGTTGTGTCCTTGGGCAAGACACTTAACCCTACTTTGCCCAAAGCCCCAACTGAAAGATCTCAGCTCCTGTAGACTCACCACCTGCAGGAGGATCAGTGAGGGGCTGGTGCTCTGTGAACTGGGTGCAGCTCTGACTGACACCCCCCCCCGACCCAGACATGGATTAAGGGGAAGAAAATGGATGGATGGATGGATGGATCTTATGATCCTAAAGGTGCAGTAAAGGATTCAGGTTCGCTAATCTGTAGCATGTCTGTAGGACAATGGTCCGTAGGAAATACAACTTCCATTGTATTTCGTTTGGCAAAGTTGATGTATTCTTGATCATGTGACCTTGTTATATCCACTTTATTAAGTATTTTACAGAATAAGCTTCACCAATCTGATTTGCTTGAGGAGAATAGTTATACCAATGGGACGGGCCTCGGGTGACGATCTGTCCAATCAGGAAGCAGTGGGGCCGGTCTAACTGGTGCTTGCTTTCGAAAAACTGGGGTAGCTAACTTTCAAGCCACAATACAAGGAATACCCATGAAATGTACTCCAGTTCCTGGCTCTCAAACATTTATGTCACATCTTTAGATCAGCCTTTTCAGACAAAAAAGAGACAGGACCAGCCTCACTCAGCCAATCATCTCTCAGCTCAAAGACTCAAAGGATAATGACTCGCAGAGCTGTTTCTTACAAGTATTCAAATGAGTACATGTTTTATAATCAGTTGAAGACAGCAGATTTTTACTGTTTCTGTTGGGACAAAAATCATGGATTATTTATGAAAGAGAAAAGTTAGGTTCCTCAGCTTTAATCACCACTTTATATAGATGCTACCCAACTCCACCACGCAGCTGCATGTCCTGTCACTGAGCATAAACATAACATCTTCTTAAAATACATTTCCTCCAGTCCCTCTCTCACCAAAGAGTACAATAAGGTCAAATCGTCCAAGAATAACCACCTTTCTTTCCAATGTACTTATCGTAATTATATGGCGCTGCGGGGGAATTTAGAAAAAAAGTAATTGTCTGTGGCCCTAAATATTTGAACACAGAAAAAGGGGACATTTGTTTTTTTTTCTAGAATTAGCTTTAGCTTTAGCATAGGGAGAAACATGTTGGAGAAGAATAATGAGAAGGAGCAGAGAGATTGATGATTTGCGGGACTCGGAAAAGGTCACATGTTTATTAGCTTCACACTGGTCACTATAGTTACATAAGTCCTGACAAGTCTGGTTTCATTTAGAGAAAAAGCCTTTTGGAGAAATCATCCTGTCCAACTCTGAGACAAAGTACAGTTCCATTCACTCCGGGTCTGTCTGGTGTACACTTTGCACAATGAATGAATGAATGTCTTTTTTAGTCCCATAATGGAGGACTAATAACAGACTATTTATATTGTTTTATACTGTCTTGATTGTACTGTAATTATGATTTTAGTGTGATTACTGTAATTCCTTGTGTGACTGCTTCTGCCTTGTTTTGTTACGCACTTGCTATCCAAATCAAACCTGCCTTACCTCCAATGTCCGGGCGCAGTTTCTTGTCGTACTCTCTCAGTAAAGTGTTGAGAATCTCTGTGGCCTCTGCATGGTGGGATTTGGGATTCAGAAGCTGACTCACGGTTACATCCTCGCCGTAATCCATCATCAAACAACTGGTAAACAGAAAGAATACTTGTGTTCTTTTCCCAAGGACAGAAAATGGTAACATCGTCTGAAGGAGAGGTCTTTCTTCACTGCGGCTGTCAGACTGTACGACAAACAACGCGGACTAATGGACACTGCCGACCTGACCTCACATGTCGTGCATCTGTGCAATAACTGATAATAATAATCAGAATGTGCACTATAGAGCTACATGTGTCACTTTGTCCCAGACCCTCATGCTGCTAATGCACAGGTCCATGGTGCAGATGTATACATGCAACTACTTTATTTTTACTAGCTACTAATTATTGTACGAGAATATACAGCATTTTACACTATACATATGCTTAAGTTAAAAAAATAAATACATTTTATATCTGTCTTTATTATTTTGCTACAGGGAGAGATTTTATCCTTGTTTTGTGTGCTAAAGTTAGAGTTTTTTTTAAATATTTTTATTTCAGATTTAATGCTCACTTATCTTGTGTTGTGTGCTCCTCATTCCTTCTGTTCTGTAACTGATGTTGCAACACTGACATTTCCCCACTGTCTGACGAATAAAGGATCTATTCATCTTAAATGTTGCCAATATGCGTAAACTTTGGAGACCTCCCTGACGCACTAACTTTACGCATGGCAGGTTTAGATGCTGAGTTGATACAATGAGATCGTTTGGTCTTAAAGAGTGATTCTTTAACTCGACTCACCGTGAGGGGAGAAGCCACAGCAGCAGAAAACAAGGCGATATTGGGGCTGGCATGTTGTTGATGCTGGTGGATTGGCGTTGGAGACGGTGGTCACAGCGGCTGATTGGGAAACCCCGGTTTGGCGCGCGCCATAGTTTGTAATCCACGAGAAAGATTAGCCATGTTAGAAAATCTTGAGTTTTGGAGGGGGGAAAAAACGTACAAATCCGAAACGACTTGAATGGACAATAATCCCAAACAGTTGTGGTCCACGACAGCGGAGGAGAGCGGCTCCAAAAGCAGGTGCGCGCGGGCTGCGTGACCCCCACTGTCCGGCGACGTCACTGCACGTCTTCCACCTGAGCGGACTGTAAAAGCAGAGCGTGTCGAGACGCGGCAGGTCGATTCAGAAGCATTGAACGTCTGTCATCTTTAGGGCCATGTGTCAGTGGAGATGGAACTGATGGATGCGGACTTTTCTCTTCTCTTTGAGTTGCTTTGAGCAGGAGCTGTGCTGCAGTCCCTTTCTCTATAGTGGTCTATGAAGTGCACATACTTACATTAAGAACCTTTAATTGTTCCTCATTGGGAAATGTCAGTGTTGCATCACTGGTTGCAGAACAATTAGAATGAAGAGCACACAACATGGTGCCAATTTTTAGCTATAAAGAAAAACAATATAAACATTTTGGTTTAAAAGTTTAAACCATTGGAGAGCTCAGAGAGCTTCTCTTTGGCAGCTGTAATAATACAGTAAATAATGGATATTTTACTATTATTCTGCAGTTTCTCTGCATTTATACAAAATAATTATAGAATAGATATGTAATGAGTCAAAGGTGGATCACTCAGGACTTTATTTTGAATGATTGTTGTGTAAACCAGGTATAACTCAAGTGCAGATATATGTTTACCTGTATGTAATCATTTATGGTAACAAAGTATAAATCTATAGATACATATCTATTTATTTGAACATATTGTAGCAGTGAGTCCTGCGTCTTCTCACTGTGCGTTTGTCTTTCTGTCCTTGACCTGTTGCATTGTTCCACCTCAGGACAAATGAAAGTTGTTTTCTTTACTTTTCTCAGGAACTCGCTGTAGTTAAGGGAAATCACACAATTCAATGAAAACAAAGGTAAAAACCATTATTATGGATTATTCTTTGTCGAAATCCAGGTGTTATGTCATATTTGTCTGTGGAGCCCAGAGAGGACACATGTTGTGTGCAATAAAACATTAAAATAATATATTTGTGTAACAGGTGGAACACAACGGCTTAAACAACGTCATTCACTTTGATCTCGACTTTACTTCTCTCTGCTCTTCTTAACAGTGACCTGAATGACACAATGCAATTTGAAAGTGTTTTGTATGTGCTGCTACAGCCCTAGGCCTCAGTGTTGCTCATGTTTGTGTTCAGTGTGTGTGTGTGTGTGTGTGTGTATCCTTTGCTCTCTCGCTCTCTGTCTGTTTTGTTTAATACTTTGAGTTGCCTTGTGTATGAACTTGATTCTATTATTACTAATTATTTTTTTTCTGACAAAGAAAATTGTATTTGGAAATTCTGAAAGCTCTGTGGATCTGCTACATTGTGTGCCATTTTGTTACATTTGTAAGTAAGAAAAGTAATGGATGTGTTGATAGAGTAGGCGAAATAAGTGTTAAACTTCAGCCTAACCCTTTCGGTCTGTAAATTTACAATCTGTGAATGTTAAATGTGCTGATGGCTGAAGAATAAAAGAATGAACGGTGCTATACAAATAAACCTGTCTTGCCTTACAACTGGATAAGTGTATCTTCAAAGGCAGAACAAAACAAGATCTATCTGTCAACATCCATTGGTCTCACATCAGTATTGCAGACGACCCACAATTTAATCTCACAACTCAAAGCAAAGAAGAAAAGTTAGAATTAGAAGGAGGAAAAAAAGTAGAATGACGTCAAATCAGATTCAGATTCATTCAAATTCACTTTATTTTCCATTTCCAGTCAAACACATTGGATTACAGTACATGTGTAAAAGTCCAGTGTGCACCAGACAACATATAAAACAATAGTCACCGTGAAACCAATCAACAAAAACAGTTTAAATAAAATACAAGTGAAGATCATTTAAGTTTGTGGAAAGAAGCTGTTAGCATATCCAGAAGTCCTGCCAGATGGAAGAAGCTGGAACATGGCTTTTCCAGGGGCCAGAGAAGTCATGTTGTACAGTAAGAAAACGTCTGTGTGTTATCCACAATAATCATGACATACTCCATTCAACTCCCCAGCCACATCAGCTGTTGCTAGTATTACCATAATCTGTAATGATATTCTCGGCTGATAAAGTACAAAACAAAACATCTGTAAATGTGAAACCTCCTGATGCTGCTGACTGCAGTGTAATTTATTATGTTTTGTTCATACATTGTTTTACTTCTGTGACCTGCCTCGGGACTACAGATGTAAATTAGCAGTTTTGCTATAATCTGGCACATTTACAATCTGTGTACAACTGTATATGATTGTTCATTAATGTGTGTTGTCCCGATCAAATAAATAAATAAATAAATAAAATTATTATCTTATACATTATCTTAAATAATTATTTGATGTGTGCATGATCTGAGTGCTCTTATTTCTTACTTTATTCTGCAGTAATGTGCACAACTATGACATAGAGATTTCTGCTGAGCGACAAATAAAAGTGTATAACATGAATATATTATTGACTGAACGGGATTCTACAATAATAGCATCACATCTAAACAGAATGACCCACCTCTGTCTGGCCTGAACCACTGAACTCGTCAAACTAACTTCATTTCTTGTCTCCATAGAATATTTCAGGTCCTCCATGATTCTGACAGGGCAGCTCTCCCAGGACCTAGTGAGCCAAGAGCATTGAGCTGGCCGCGGTCGCCCTCTGCTGGTCGTAGAAATACACACAGCTTCTTCAAATACTCTATTGTTGATCCTAATAGATTTAATGACTGTCATAAATCAGAACCTATAAATCAGACCTTTTTCCTCTTTGTTTTTTCTCGAAGGGCACCTGATCTCTGGCCTTTTTTGATCCCTGTATGCACTTTTTCCTCTAGTAAATGAATAGATTTTGTATTTATTGACGTGAAAAGACATATTTTGACAGTAGAATATTCCTCAAATCTCAACTACCATTCAAGCACCAACTTCACTTCACAACTTCACACATGACTGTCTTATTAATTTGATATTTTTTTCCAAGACAATAGAGAGGAGTTGTTCGCCATTTGTCGCCTCAATGACTCTCAGAACTCTTTTATGCTTCTGGTACTTTTCATTACTTTGTTTCCTGGTATAGCTGTCTTTATAAGCGTGTCTGTTTGAGTCTTGTCTTTTGGTGTCAGTCTGTGTTTGTTGTTCTGGTGTGGACCTGGAGGCTGAATAAAGAAATAAGGGTGATGATGAAGAACACACATAAACATGATATTTTTGAATGGAAAACTAACTCATTTCAATTTGAAGCACATTTTTGGGGACAAGTATTTTCACTTGGACAGCTGTAGGGTGGTATTTCCAAGGTGTGAATAGCCCACCTCCCAATGTCAACTGATGTATACAGGGACGGCAAGTAAGTGTGTATGTATAGCACAGATCATATACGAGCAAACTCAAAGTGCTCAACACAAGCCATCCAAATCATTAATAATCACTATGCATTACAAACAGTAAAGATGCAATCCCTCAGTTTTATGTACAGCTAAACAGAATTGTTTTTAACCTGGATTTGAACATTGTCAGAGAAGAAGCCTGTCTCACGTTTTCAGGAAGAGCACAGGGACTGGCTCAGAGTCCCAGTAGGAGGTGGGTTAGTTCATATGGCACTAACATGTCCGTATATATCTGTGGTAATCTATTTCATATGTATAGTTTCCCTCTCTGAACTCTGCCCCCCTCTCTCTCTCTTCTCTCCTCTCTTTCTCTCTTCTCTATCCTCTCTCTCTCTCTTTAGTCGCTGTCTGTGCTTCTTACTCTTCTGCGATTGATGTCATTTGGAGGCATCAGTGTCCGCTTAATTTAGTGCCGAGTATATGGACCACAGCTGAATGGGAAAAGCAACTTAAATGGAGCTAAATCCTTACAAACAGATGTGAGCCAGATGTCAGGGCTGCAGAGAATCCCTGTGTGTGTGTGTGTGTGTGTGTGTGTGTGTGTGTATCATCAAACAACAGCAGCACGTGAAACCGTCACTGTCCCATCCGCAGAGAAGATTAAGGTTTTTCCGTTTTTATGGAGAGGGCAGATATGTCCACTCCTGCTGACGCTTGTACTACATCCGAGTACACAGATTCTGTTTGGTGAACTGGAGCGCAGAAATACTTTCACTTCCTCTTGTGCTTGTTTACAATCAAAAAGAGAGAAAATTATTACTATTTTATATACTGTATGTGTGAGGTTCTACGGCTACACCACCTCTGGGCTGTTGTTTGCATAGGATGTGTTTCTGCTGCTCCTAGACACTCGAATTTCTCCTACTAAGATCAACTAAGTATCTATCTATAAAAATAAAATAAAGGGTTAAACAAATAATTTAAAGAATTGAGCAGAGAATTTGTCACAATATTTATTAATATTTATCGACTCATCGTTCAATAACCAATGGATACAATGCTATAATTTGAGGCTCAGTAATGATTGTCTTTGTAATCGTGGGAAGATATTAGCAGTTGTCAAACATAAACGTTTTAGTTCTAGAGGGTGTCTCATTGCCTGGTGACTTTATGCGTACAATATATATTCAGATCATCATCAATAATTTTTTGACTTGTATTATAAATGTACATATCTATTGAATTTTCAAATTTTTTCTGAAATGCTCTGTGGGTGTGATGCCCCACCCTAACTTCCCGGTGCTCTTCTCATATTTGCTTTATGAAGGCATAAAAGTGAGATGGTGTGCGGTAATAATTCTCCCTAACACAAGAATTAACAAATGGAATTTATGAGGGCCTCTGGAAGCCTCTTCAGTCCTAGATCTACAATAACTTGAATTTAATAATTTGTAAGAATTAGTTATTGTGACAGGCGAGTGAGGATGTTTTTGGCA